CTCTGGGCCCATGTGGCCCCCCCCCTTTTTTTTGGTTTGATTTATATGCCCCCCTTCTCTGGAGACTCAGGGCGGCTTACAATGCGCTAAGCAATAGCCTTCATTCTTTTTGTATATTTATACAAAGTCAGCTTATTGCCCCCACAATCTGGGTCCTCATTTTTACCTACCTTAGAAAGGATGGAAGGCTGAATCAACCTTGAGCCTGGGGAGATTCGAACCCTGCAGTAATTGCAGGCAGCTGGTGTTAATAACAGTGCCTTAGTCTGCTGCGCCACCAGGCTCTTTCAGCAAGGGCCTTGGACAAGAGGGATCCCGTCCAAAATTGAATTTGCTCTTTGACATGATCTGGAAATTGGCTTTTGCACCTCATAAAACAACCCCTTCAAGTATGACTGGAAGAGAGATTTTAATCTTTCTGATTTTTCTCAACCACGTCAACCTGCCAGTCTCAGAGGTGCTGGGTCAATCGTGGTGCGATAGGAAGGGTGCCGTAGGACTTGACCCTGCCTGGACTCTGCTTCTCTGCCCGATTACTGGGCACAGAACCAAAGAGAAAATGAAAGTTATGAATACAGGATGGCAGGGGAGGAGAGCAGCCCTGATGCTCACACCAATTTTTGCTTTGGTTTTATAAAAAAATATATAATTATTTTGGTACGCTAGGCATGCGTGTTTCCGAATCTGCAAACTGGGCAGCTGAATAAGAAGAGGAAGGTAGCCAGGGCATTACAAAATGCATCCCTCTTCAACCTGGATTCTTTTATTTCTCTCATTTTGATACCGTCGGACTCCTGCGGTCCAGTCTGACAAAATACAGGTGTGAACTGCTCAGCCCATAGGATATATTCTCCCTGTGCAGAAGAGGAAGAGGTCACGTACACTAGCACTGATGGTGTTGCCTAGTTGGGTCATGAAAGGTCTACAAGAAAAGAACCAAGCTCAGAGAGCACCAAGGACCCCACAGCCCTCCTCCTCCTCCTGTTCCTCCTCCTCCTCCTCCCCCCTCTTCCTCCTCCTCCTGTTCCGCCTCCTCCTCCTCTTTCTCTTCTTCCTCCTCTTTCTCCTCTTCCTCCTCCTCCTCCTCCTCCTTTCTCTTCTTCCTCCTCTTCCTCCTCTTTCTCCTTTTCCTCCTCCTCCTCCTCCTCCTCCTCCTCCTCCTCCTCCTCCTCCTCCTCTTCCTCCTCCTCCTCCTCTTTCTCCTCTTCCTCCTCCTCCTCCTCCTCCTCCTCCTCCTCTTTCTCTTCCTCCTCCTCCTCCTCCTCCTCCTCCTCCTCCTCCTCCTCCTCCTCCTCCTCCTCTCCACCACCCCCTTCCTTCAAGCTCTGATGATGTTCTCTAGTTGGGTCATGAAACATCTGTAGGAAACCACCCAGCTCAGAGAGCACCAAGGACCCCACAGTTCAGTAGTGAGTACCACTTACCGGTTCGGAACTGTGAGCTCGCGCATGACGCTTCTGCGCATGCGAGCATCATGTGCCAATAACGGTGTTTGCTCCATTTCTTCCGTGATGCTTCTTGCCCCAATGCTCCTCTGATGTACAATGACCCGTCAGAGCCCATTTCAGCTGATGGATTTCCGGATTGTCGACAAATAAGCCTTCCCACCTCCGCCGTGGCGCTGAATTTGCTCCGGTTCTTGATTCTGACACGCCAGTTATGCCCTTCTCTTCTGCAACGCCAAGCTTCCCTTTTGGTTCAGGTCGGCCCCCTGCCCCAACCCCCAGCCCCACGAGGAGCAGCATTTGGGCTGAACACACCGTTTCTTTCGACGGATCTGACTTTATGCGCTGGTTGTTATGCAAGGCAGCACCGTTGGCTGCTTCAAGGAGGGTGTTTGCACTGTCCAGTCTCTTAGGACAGGATTTCCCAACCCTTGGAGTTCTTCATCCGTTGATTTACCCGTTAATTTGTTTCTCTATTTCTTTATCAGTTTATTTATTTATCTATCATTTTCTTTATCTGTTTGTCTATATCTATTTTTATATGATTACAAAAAATGGCATCTATATACCGTGTATAGTTTCATCTATATCTAGCTAGCTAGCTGGCTATCTCTGTCTTATTTCTTTCTCTGTCTTTCTCTATCTTGTCTTCTCTAGCATCTCTCTGTCTGTCTGTCTGTCTGTTTGTCTACCTATCTACCTAACTAACTAACTAATTAATTTAGGCAGCTTCCAGCCATTTCCAGGATTGTAGACTTCAACTCCCAGAATTCTCATCTGTGGGCAGACTGGCTGGGGGATTCTGGGAGTGGAAGCATATCCATCTTAAATCCTGCTGGGTGGGGAATTCTGGGAGTGGAAGTCCACCCATCTTAAAGCAGGCTGGCTGAGGAATTCTGGGAGTGGAAGTCCTCCCCTCTTAAAGCATGGCTGGCTGGGGGATTCTGGGAGTGGAAGCATATCCATCTTAAATCCTGCTGGCTGGGGGATTCTGGGAGTGGAAGTCCACCCCTCTTAAAGCATTCTGGCTGGGGGATTCTGGGAGTGGAAGCCCACCCCTCTTAAAGCATTCTGGCTGGGGGATTCTGGGACTGGAAGCCCACCCCTCTTAAAGCATTCTGGCTGGGGGATTCTGGGAGTGGAAGCCCACCCCTCTTAAAGTATTCTGGCTGGGAATTCTGGGAGTGGAAGTCCACCCCTCTTAAAGCATGCAGGCTGGGGGATTCTGGGAGTGGAAGCCCACCCCTCTTAAAGTATTCTGGCTGGGGGATTCTGGGAGTGGAAGCCCACCCCTCTTAAAGTATTCTGGCTGGGGGATTCTGGGAGTGGAAGTCCACCCCTCTTAAAGCATGCAGGCTGGGGGATTCTGGGAGTGGAAGCCCACCCCTCTTAAAGTATTCTGGCTGGGGAATTCTGGGAGTGGAAGCCCACCCCTCTTAAAGTATTCTGGCTGGGGAATTCTGGGAGTGGAAGTCCACCCCTCTTAAAGCATGCAGGCTGGGGGATTCTGGGAGTGGAAGCCCACCCCTCTTAAAGCATGCAGGCTGGGGGATTCTGGGAGTGGAAGCCCACCCCTCTTAAAGTATTCTGGCTGGGGAATTCTGGGACTGGAAGTCCACCCCTCTTAAAGCATTCTGGCTGGGGGATTCTGGGAGTGGAAGTCCACCCCTCTTAAAGCATGCAGGCTGGGGGATTCTGGGAGTGGAAGCCCACCCCTCTTAAAGTATTCTGGCTGGGGAATTCTGGGACTGGAAGCCCACCCCTCTTAAAGCATTCTGGCTGGGGGATTCTGGGAGTGGAAGTCCACCCCTCTTAAAGCATTCTGCCTGGGGAATTCTGGGAGTGGAAGCCCACCCCTCTTAAAGTATTCTGGCTGGGGAATTCTGGGAGTGGAAGTCCACCCCTCTTAAAGCATTCTGCCTGGGGAATTCTGGGAGTGGAAGTCCACCCCTCTTAAAGCATTCTGCCTGGGGAATTCTGGGAGTGGAAGCCCACCCCTCTTAAAGCATGCTGGCTGGGGGATTCTGGGAGTGGAAGTCCACCCCTCTTAAAGCATTACTGGCTGGGGGATTCTGGGAGTGGAAGTCCACCCCTCTTAAAGCATGGCTGGCTGGGGGATTCTGGGAGTAGAAATCCATCCATCTTAAATCCAGCTGGCTGGGGGATTCTGGGAGTGGAAGCCCACCCCTCTTAAAGCAGGCTGGCTAGGGAATTCTGGGAGTGGAAGTCCATCACTCTTAAATCCAGCTGGCTAGGGAATTCTGGGAGTGGAAGCCCACCCCTCTTAAAGCATGGCTGGCTAGGAAATTCTGGGAATTTAAGTCCATCCATTTTAAAGTTGCGAAGGTTGAGAAACACTGATAACAACCAGTTTTTGCGCTGAGCCAAGAACTGCCCTGATTCCTCATTTTTTACATCCTGGAGAAGGAAACCTGGTCGGTCCATTTTTAGATTAATTCCTTAATATCTTGCAGCGAGCGAAGAGAGGCCAACAGATGGCTGAAGGGATGCAGTCAGCAATTTGCAATCTCTGGCCAGAGCAGAGCAGGAAAAAATAGATCACATCATTGGCTTATTGGGCTGGGGGTCACTTCTATCGGCCCCACCAACCCCAAGACATGGGTCACTGGCTGCTGCCTCAGCTGGCCAGAGGGGGGAAGGGTCTATTGTCCTTTTATTTGGGGAAGGTTAGGTTAGGTTAGGTTTATTAAATTTGTATACCACCCTTCTCCCGAAGGACTCAGGGTGGTGAACAGCCAAAATTAAAATACATACAGTATAAAAATTAAAATAAATTAAAACAGAATTAGATCAGTTTGGCTTCCCCAAATTTTAAAACCCTTTACCCATAAAATAGCCCATTAAAATTTTAAGCCAGCCCGGCTTGCTGAAATAAGAAGGTCTTCAAAGCTCAGCGGAAAGTACGGAGGTCCGGGATCAGTCGTATTCCTGGGGGTAGCTCGTTCCAGAGGGCGGGTGCCCCCACAGAGAAGGCTCTCCCCCTGGAAGGCAGGACTAGAACTCACCATCTCCTGGTGATTGGCCGAAAGTCACCCCGGTGGCTTGCATTCCTAAATCTGGACTAGAACTCACCGACTCCTGGTTTCTGGGCTGGTGCCTTAACTACCTAACCAAGAAACTCTCTCTCTCTCTTTTTCCCACCCTGCATTCAAACATATTACGATAATACCCTGTGGTTTTCTCAGCAACGTTTTTTCCAGATGTGTCATCTTCTTGAAACCCTCCAGTGATGAAGCATCCACAACTTCTGGTGGCCAGCTGTTCCACTGGTTAATTGCCCTCACTGTTAGGAAATTTCTCCTTATTTCCAGGTTGCTTCTCTCCTTGATTGGTTTCCATCCAAAGCCTTCAGGTGCTTTGGGAAATAGGTGGACCCCCCACTCTTCTTTGGGCAGCCCCTCAAATACTGGGAGACTGCTATCACGTCCCTCCTAGTCCTTCTCTTCTCTAGACTGGCCAAACCCAGTTCGTGCAGTTTGACCCTTGCAAAATGAATGGTCGCTGGTCACCCATGGGAGGGGTCTGTGCTTCCCGATGACCGCCTCTCAGGTCTCTGCCTACCCATCCCACACCTCCAAGCTTCAGGGCCAGGGAATCTTCTGGAAATCCTGCCTGATCCTGGCCAAGGTAGCTGGCTTCAGGTGAGGAGGGGGCTGCAAAGACCCTTTTAGGCAGACCCAAGCAGCTGGCTCTAATCTTCCCTCTGCTAATTGCTTCCTTGTCAAAGTTGCATTTTAACCTTATCTTATCTTCATCCGATGTTCACACCTCCAGCTCTCCTGCAAATGAGTCTTCCTCCTTCCAGCTCCCTCTCTCCCTACCCCTCTTCACGCCTCCCATGCTCCAGTTTATTTATTTATTTTTTAAAATCATTGACACTTCATGGGCTCAAACTTCTCCGTCTTTAAAAAAAAAAGGAAAAATTAAAAAGAGAGCATGATGTGATTAAGGCGTTCCTCGCCACTTAATAAATTACCCGAAGATTAGCTGGTTTCGGGGGCAGAGAAATAAATTATGAGATTTAACATTTTGTAATAACAACAATTAGTTGCTAAACAGTATCTTTCCTTAAAGGAAAAAAAAAAAAAAAAGGCAAGAGGCAAAAGTAAATTAATTCTGCTAATTAGCTGCCAAGCATCAAAGCAAATAAAGCGGGAGGGCGGAAGGGGAGGGGTGTCTCATGTGCAAACTGGCACATGTGCCAGTGTGCCCTCGCCATGCGCAGAGTGGCACCCGGAGCCCAGCCTCGCTCTCCCATCATCTGAGTTTAACGGAAAACAGAGCTGTCAAAATATTTTTTTTTTTCAGTAATGGTTTCCCCGACAGTTTCTTTCCCCGATTTTCCCTTCCCTCCTACAATGTGGCTGGGAATGCTGGAATTTGTTGTCTTTAGCGCATCCAGAGGGCATGACATCGGCTGAGCTTCATCTGTGAAGGGGAATGCCTTCGTTCTTAACAATGTGCATTCCTTCTCCTCTCTGTTTTGGAAGATGTCAGTCCGATTTTTTTTTTTTAATTGCACCTTGTCAATGCAGGACCTCAACCCCTAAGGGGGTCAGGGGGTTTTGAGGTCAATCCATACATCCTATTGTTTATTTTTGTGAATTCATGTTTACAATGGCCTTTGAGGATTTTGGAAAAAGGTAACTGTGATCAGGAGAGCTGGCTTGGGGTAGTGGTGAAGGTGCTGGCTTGGAAACCAGGTGTCCGTGAGTTCTAGTCCTGCCTTAGGCAGTGGTGCGAATGGTTCCTGTAGTCTGCAATTTTTGACCAGCTGCCTGCAAGGAGTATAAATCCTTCCCTTCCCCACCATCCAGTAAGAGCTGAAGAAGCTCCTTGGATGAGAAGCGAAGCGTCTTCAAAGAAAAAACAAGGAAGTCCAGTTGCCTCTTGAAAAAACACCTTTGGGACAACCAGGACCTGGATGACGGAGAATCTCTACAGAGGAGACTGGGAGTTCTAGTTCCACCTTAGGCATGAAAGCCGGCTGGATGACTCTGGGCCAATCACCAGGAGACGGTGAGTTCTAGTCTCGCCTTAGGCATGAGAGCCAGCTGGGTAACTTTGGGCCAATAACCAGGTGACAATGAGTTCTAGTCCCACCTTAGCCATGAAAGTCAGCTGGGTGACTTTGGGACATCACCAGGAGACTGGGAATTCTAGTTTCATTTTAGGCACAAAAGCTGACTTTGGGCCAATCACCAGGAGACGGTGAGTTCTAGTCTTGCCTTAGGCATGAAAGCCAGCTGGGTGACTTTAGGCCAATCACCAGGAGATGGGGAGTTCTAGTCCCGCCTTAGGCATGAAAGCCAGCTGGGTGACTTTGGGCCAATCACCAGGAGACGGTGAGTTCTAGTCTTGCCTTAGGCAGGAAAGCCGGCTGGGTGACTTTGGGCCAATCACCAGGAGACGGTGAGTTCTAGTCTTGCCTTAGGCATGAAAGCCAGCTGGGTGACTTTAGGCCAATCACCAGGAGATGGGGAGTTCTAGTCCCGCCTTAGGCATGAAAGCCAGCTGGGTGACTTTAGGCCAATCACCAGGAGATGGGGAGTTCTAGTCCCGCCTTAGGCATGAAAGCCAGCTGGGTGACTTTGGGCCAATCACCAGGAGACGGTGAGTTCTAGTCTTGCCTTAGGCATGAAAGCCAGCTGGGTGACTTTGGGCCAATCACCAGGAGACGGTGAGTTCTAGTCCTGCCTTAGGCATGAAAGTCAGCTGGGTGACTTTGGGCCAGTCCCTTTCTCTTGGCTCAACCCACCTCACAAGGTTGTTGTTATGGAGAAAGTAGGAAGAGGAAGATGCATTAGGTATATTCACCCGTTTGAGTTACTTATAAAAAAAATAATAAAGGCAGGATATAAATACAGTAAATAACCAAATAAGGCACTGAATTCCACCTGTTAACGATGCCCCGTGAAATTTAAAAAAAAAACAAAAGCTATCGCTTGCAGAGAACGAGATCAGCAACCTTTCAATGCAATAAATTAATAAATAAACTCCTTTGTGAAGCTTCGAGTCTTCTACTGTTCAGTTTCAAGTATTTTGAAAGGGAGGAAGGAAAAAGAATTACCGGTATTTTTAATTTGCAGAAAGTTTTGCAACCGCTAAGGAAGCCGAGTGGCCTGTCCTGCATCGGATGAGCCCTTTGGATCAGATTTTTTTCCCCCACCACCTACATACCCCCACAACATTCTACATATATGTTTTGGTCATCAACAGAGTATATATTATATTACTTTATAAATTAGCAAAAAAGTAGTAAACTCTTGGTTCAACTAACCCTTTGGGTCAGTTTTAGAGGCTACATTGCACAGCCTGGTTTAATCTCCTCCACCGGGTCTTAAAGTTTCAAGATTGGACTCCCCTGGTATGGAGTCTCCTGCTCGAAGAGGGGGGTTGGACTAGAAGACCTCCAAGGTCCCTTCTGGTATTTTATCCCTTCCGACCCTGTTGCTCTATGTTCTGCGAAAGAGCTGTGACCCTCCAACAGGTTCCTTCGGATGGTTGAAGGCCGAGACGCTTCCCAGACTCCACCAAGCACAGCCGCAGAGAGACAGGTGATAAGTTTTCACCCTTGCAGAAAATTTTTTTTCCTTTTTTCCAGCGAGCTGGTTGGTTGGTTCTGCCTGCCGAAATGCAGGTTCCCCTCCCTTCCCCCGGAGAGGGAGGGGGGGAAACAGGGAGCTCCCTCGGCTTCATGAAATATGCAGGGCCATCAGACGGGAAGAGTGCATCTTGGCACAACCCTCGCCAGTTCATAAATTAACCAGCTGGCAAGCCCCAGCCACCGATTTTGGCTCCCCACTAAAGCTTTTAATTAACAGCTCGGAGAGCTTCAAGGGTGGAGGTATTTTCCCCGTACTCCTCCTTTGCAAAATGCAAAAAAAAAAGAAAGAAAGAAAGAAAATGAAAAAAGGACTCTGCTCTATAAATCTACCGGTAAGAGCTCTCTCCGGCAGGCGGGCCCGTGGCTGGGAAAGGCACAGGGGAAAAGGAGAATGTAGTCCAAGGTGTTGTGTTTGTGTGAAGGCAGGCGTGCCCAGGTGTGTATTGCCTTTCCACCAGTAAGTTGCATAAACAGAGGCACAGAATCAAAATCAGGTGAAGTATTAGCACCGCTTTATAAAGCCTTAATAAAGCCACACCTGGAATATTCTGCATCCAGTTTTGATCACCACATTGTAAAAAAAAAGATGTTGAGACTTTGGAAAAAGCGCAGAGAAGAGCAACTAAGATGATTTAAAGGCCTGGAGGCTAAAACATAGGAAGAACGGTGGCAGTAATTGGGTTTGGCTTGTCTAGAGAAGAGAAGGACTAGGGGGGACATGATAGCAGTCTTCCAGTATTGCCACAAAGAAGAGAGGGTCAAATTATTCTCCAAAGCATCAAAAGGCAGGACAAGAAACAACCAACGGAAACTAATGAAGGAGAGATTCAACCTGGAACTAAGGAGAAATTTCCTGACAGTGAAGGCAATTAATCAGTGGAACAGCTTGCCACCAGAAGTTGTGGGTGCTTCAATATTGGAGGTTTTCAAGAAGGGATTGGACAGCCATTTCTCAGGAATGGTATAGGGCTGTGATGGCGAACCTATGGCACGCATGCCACAGGTGGCACACAGAGCCATGTCACCTGGCACACCAGCTCAGCCTCTCTAGGAGTCTCTGAGGCTGGGACAACAAAAAATGTCACTTCCTGTCAACCGGAAGTTGGGAAACGGGCCATTTCGGGCCTCCAAGGGGGTGGGGAAGGCTGTTTTTGCCCTCCCCAGATGCATAGAGAGGATCTGGAGCCAGGTGAGAAAGAAAAATGGGCCTACCAGGCCCTTGTGTGCCAGGAGCAAGGGGCGGGGAGGGGGTGTCATGCATGCATGCACAGGGCGCGGCATATAGAATTATGGGTATGGGCACGTGCACGCTCGCGAACCTCCCCCACCCCCCTTTCCTGGCACACGATGGCAAAAAGGTTAGCCATCACTGATATAGGGTCTTCTGCTTGAACAGCAGGGGGTTGGACTAGAAGACCTCCAAGGTCCCCTCCAACTCTGTTACTCTCTTATTCCAATATCTAAGGGAGTGCCACAAAGGAAAATGTGTGTGTGTGTGGTGGTGGGGGGGTCCACCTATTCTCCAGAGCACCTGAAGGCAGGAGAAGCAGCAACGGATGGAAACTAATTAAGGAGAGATTCAACCTGGAATTAAGGAGGAATCTAACAGCGAGAACAAATCATTGGAACAGCTTGCCACCGGAAATTGTGGAAGCTCTATTACTGGTAGTCGACTCAAATAAAGTTAGAAAGGTTAGTTTGGGAATTCTGGGAGTTGAAGTCCACACAGTTTCAAGTCTCCGCAGCTGATAGAAAAGCCAGCTTCATCCCAGGGATGAAATCGAGCAGGTTCTGGAGAACCGGTAGCAGAAATTTTGAGTAGTTCGGAGAACCGGCAAATACCACTTCTGGCTGGCCCCAGAGTGGGGTGGGAATGGAGATTTTGCAATATCCTTCCCCTGCCACGCCCACCAAGCCATGCCCACTAAGCCACGGCCACAGAACCGGTGGTAACAAAAATTGGATTTCACCACTGCTTCATCCCCCGTTGGCATCGGGGCTGTGCTGTGTAGGAAATGCTCGCTTACAGAAGCTTTCAGCGAGAGACATAAATATCCAGCCCGCCTGAGCTCAGACAGGACTTATCTCTGGTGAGTAATGAAAGGCCTTAAATTCAGCAGCCATTTAAGTCACCGAAGAATTATGTCATTGTGGCAGTTGTGTGATGGTGCAGCTGAACATCCTGACTGGAACTAAGTGAAAATGTAAGGTGGGTAGCTTCTTAGAGGTTCAAAGAACCAGAAGGCTCTCGACAAACTTAAACACGGGGCCCTAGTTAACAAAATACCCTAACAAAATAACAAAAACATAGGATGAACGGTTGCAGGAACTGGGCCTGGCTGGTCTAGTGAAGAGAAGGACCAGGGGAGACATGAGAGCATCTTCCAATATTTGAGGGGCTGCCCCAGAGAGGAGGAAGGGGGTCAAGCTATTTTTCCAAAGCACCTGAAGGCCAGACAAGAAACAATGGATGGAAACTGAACAAGGAGAGATTCAACCTAGAAAATAAGGAGAAATTTTCTGACAGTGAGAGCAATCCACCCATGGAACAGAGAAGTTGCCTTCAGAAGTTGTGGGAGCTTCATCCCTGGAGGCTTTCAAGAAGAGACTGGGCTGCCATCGGTCAGAAATGGTGTAGGGTCTCCGCTTGGGCAGGGGGTTGGGCTAGATGACCTATGAGGTCCTTTCCCACTCTGTTCATCTGTTAAAATGTAAATCAATGGTGAAAAAAACAAGGTTCTACATTTAAGGAAGAAAAACCAAATGCACAGGTGTAGAATAGGTGGAATCTGGCTGAAAAGCTGTGAAGTTCTGGTAGACGATCATTTAAATGAGCCTTTTTATTATTTTTATTTATTGAATTTGAATTTGAATGAGCCTTGGTGGCGCAGTGGACTAAAGTGCTGTTAAGTAGCACTTAGCTGCCAGCTGCCTGCAATTACTGCGAGTTCAAATCTCACCAGGCTCAAGGTGGACTCAGCCTTCCATCCTTCCAGGTGGGTAAAATGAGGACCCGGATTGTGGGGGCAATAAGCTGACTTTGTATAAAAAAGAACACTGCTTGGGGGGCCCCGAAAGCCCTACTAAGCAGGTATATACAAAAGTATGAAGGCTATTGCTTAACGCATTGTAAGCCGCCCTGAGTCTCCGGAGAAGGGCAGCATATGTATCGAACAACCAATAAATAAAACAATAAATATATAAATAGGAGCCAGCTGTGTGCAACAGCTGCCAAAAAAGCCAACACACTTCTGGGCTGCATAAACAGAGGGAGAGAATCAAGATCATGAGAAGTGTTAATACCACTTTATAAGGCCTTAGTAAGGCCACACTTGGAATATTGCATCCAGTTTTGGTCGCCACGATGTAAAAAAGATGTGGAGACTCTAGAAAGAGTGCAGAGAAGAGCAACAAAGATGATTAGGGGACTGGAGGCTAAAATATATAAAGAACGGTTGCAGGAATTGTGTATGTCTAGCTTAATGAAAAGAAGGGCTAGCAGGGACATCACAGCATCTTCCAATATCTCAGGGGCTGCCACAGAGAGGAGTTTGGGGTCAAGCTATTCTACAAAGCTCCTGAAGGCAGGACAAGAAGCAACGGATGGAAACTCATCAACCTCGAACTAAGGAGAAATTTCCTGACGGAGAAAACAATTAACCTGTGGAAGGGCTGCCCTTCAGAAGCTGTGGGAGCTCCAACACCGGAGGTGTTTAAGAAGAGACTGGGCAGCCATTTCTCCAGAATCATATAAGGTCTCCTACTCAAATGGGGTTGGACTAGAAGACCTCCAAGGACCCCTCCAACTCAGTTGTTCTGTTTTATATATATTATGGGAATTGCTGTTTATTCTTCAAGCCAAAGGGGATATTTGCTGTGGGCTCTCCCGTCCTCCTTCCTCCTTCAGCTGAATTCTCTGGGCTCAAAGGAAGCTGCGTTTTGTTTCTCCAGTCCTCTTTGTAGGGCTTAACGCTGCCAGCCTGCCAGCCGTGATGCTTTGGCATCAGAGGGGGCAGAGGACGGAAGCAAGTGCCAGTCAAATGGCAGCCAGCCTCTCTCTCTCCTCTCTCTCTCTCCCTTTGTTCCTTTCTCTCTCCCCCGTCTCCCTTTCCTCTCCCTCTCTCTCTTCTCTCTCTCCCCTTTCTTTCTCCCTCTCCCTCTCCCCCTTTCTCTCTCTCTCCTCCCTTTTCTTTCTTTCTCTCCCCCTCTCTCTCTTTCCTCTCCCCCTTTCTCTCTCTCCCTCTCTTCCCTTTCTCTCACTCTCTTCCCTTTCTTTCTCTCCCTCTTTCTCTCTCCTTCCCTCCCTTCCCCCCTCTCTCCCTTTCTTTCTTTTTCTTTCTCCCTTTCTCTCTCCCCCTTTCTCTCTCTCCCTTTCTCTCTCTCTCTCTTTTCCTTTCTCTCCCTCTCCCTCTCCCTCTCTCCTCTCTTTCTCTCTCCCCCCCCTTTCTTTCTCCCTCTCCCTCTCCCCCCTTTCTCTCTCTCTCTCCCTTTCTTTCTTTCTCTCCCCCTCTCTCTCTTTCTCTCTCCCCCTTTCTCTCTCTCCCTCTCTCCCTTTCTCTCCCTCTCTCTCTTTCTCTCTCCCCCTTTCTTTCTCCCTCTCCCTCTCTCCCCCTTTCTCTCTCTCTCTCTCCCTTTCTTTCTTTCTCTCCCCCTCTCTCTCTTTCTCTCTCCCCCTTTCTCTCTCTCCCTCTCTCCCTTTCTCTCGCTCTCTCCCTTTCTTTCTCTCCCTCTTTCTCTCTCCTTCCCTCCCTTTCCCCCCTCTCTCCCTTTCTTTCTTTTTCTCTCTCCCTTTCTCTCTCCCCCTTTTCTCTCTCTCCCTTTCTCTCTCTCTCTTTTCCTTTCTCTCCCTCTCCCTCTCCCTCTCTCTCTTTCTCTCTCCCCCTTTCTTTCTCCCTCTCCCTCTCCCCCTTTCTCTCTCTCTCTCCCTTTCTTTCTTTCTCTCCCCCTCTC